CTACACCTTGTTATCTAGGAGTGTTATTGGATCAGTTTTGTTTCTTCTCCTACTCAGTACTGTTGTGTAATGTGGTACTTTTACTCACAGAGGGTTATGGAGGCTCCTTATGTATCAAAAGTAACACCTTTTGGTGTGCTGGGGTTCTCAACTTTAAGCAGAATCGCGACTAGCTGCAACACTGTGAGTGCACAGAATGTACTAATGTGCTTTTGCTAATCTTGTTCTGATGTACTAAGCAAGTAATCAAAACTCCCCCTGCTTTGTAAAAAAGCTTTTTGCAGTGACCTTCCCATGCTTAATAGGTTTTTGTGGTCAACACAGAACTCAACGCAAATACATGGAGGTTGGTGACAGGATGAAGAAAACATCAATAATATTCAGTCTTCACATTGCCAGTTGGAGGACTGATGACTCAGTCCTGGAGATGTGGTAATGTGCATTTGGAGTTTGAGTAAATCTCAGAGGGACATTTCTGCTGTGGCTTTTTATTTTCAGTGTAAGGTACTCATGGCTCCATTTTAAAGCAGCATCATTGCCGTTAGTAGCAGTGAGCACTAAGTAACTCTTTGACTGAGAATTGTTATCTACAGCCTGAATCCCAAACTCATTGCAGGTACCACTTTCTATCCTGTCAGATACTGAACCTGGGCTGGCGCTGCCAATGGACAATAACTCAAAATTAATCTCTTGACATCACTGAAAGCAAACTAGGAGAACAATTATAGGGGGCATTAAAAAAGAGACCTTTTAATACTCTGATGCCATATCATGTTATGGAGATCAGAGCAAGATAATTGTTTGGTTGACAGTTAAGAATAGCTTTGAAATAGTGAAGAGCCTGCCTGCTTTCCAGTTGGCAATGCAATTGGCATTGAGTGAGATAGATGACCAATGGCAGGGGAGCGGAAGACCGGGCAGTTAGCCAAACAATGTCCAGGCACTTCCCCGTGAGTGAGTGCCAGGGATTGATGAGGCTGGGCATTTGGCAGGAGGACCTCATATGAAGAAAATATCATGTTAGTGCTAGCAAACACAAATTTCTGGAACTGTGAACAGCAAGTTTTATGGGGGATTTGCAACCTATAAACTTTTCTTCCAATGGCCAATAACTCACCAAATGAACTTAAGTGTAGCAGGTTAGAGGGAATGAGAAGGAAATAAGAGAGATTCGAGTCAATTTAGACACAGGCGGAGAAATAAAAAGGAAAAATTAAGAGAAACTAGGCCCAATGTCCAATTGCCCAGTGATACTGTACAAAGGACTTTGATGTGAAACTCTGTGTCACAACATTGCATTACAGATGATGTATCAATCTCTGGAGGCACAGAAACAATACACAAACATGGGTAATCTGCACTTTCTTAGTTTGAGAATAAGTTGCTGATGATGTAAGTGGGCTGTCAGGTAGTTTTCACTTCAGAGCTTATACCTTAACTTGGTGTCCATTTTGTAAGTGCGGTTAATTAGAATGTTACTGAGAAACTCTGAATAAGGGTATGCAAAATGACAAACATTGTAAAAATATTTCCAAGAATTGGAATTTTTCGTATTTGTAGGGTTTGAAACAAGATGCAGGGTTAGGGAGAAGGCAAGAGATTGGCAATGCAGACTATCAAGTCCCATTTGTACCCAGTTAAGAACATAAAACTCTATCTACACACCCAAAGCAGATAATCACATCCTAACTGTACCCCCAATACAGACCATCAAAGTCTAACTGTAACCTCAATACAGATCATCAAACCCCATGAACACCTTCAATACAGATCATCAAAGTCCATCTCTACTCCCCAGTACAGACCATCAAACCCCATCTGTACCCCCAACACAGACCATCTCCATCCCCAACATAGATCATCAAAGTGCATCTGCAGCACTGAATACAAATCTTCATATCCAATACCCACTCTGAGCTCATACACCCATATCGGGTCTGCACAAAGATTTGACTGATCTTTCACTTTGTTTGACCACAGCCAATAGCATAAAATGTCTTAAAAGTTCAGGAAAACGGCTTGTTGAACATCGTGAGATTACAACACATACAGCCAGCTCCATCCAAGTCAACACATTACACTGTCAATATTGAACAGGCATTAATTTCCAGATTGATCATCATCCTGTTCTTCAGCCTGAAGGTCATGAGAAAACTGTGATCAAACTGTATGGAGGGTGTGTGGTATTTTGTTTATCTTTGTCCATTCCTTTTCTCTTTGTGTGTTTTGTTTGTTTGAGTAGTGAGCGTGGTTGACATCATCAAAGCTAATGAAGATTCTTTGAAATCTATGGAGGCAGACTGTGAAATAAGCATGTATTGCATTTCTCTGTTCATTTCTCATCCTTTGCTGAGTTACCCCTTATTTTCACTCTGATTTACTCCAGCTGTAGATGTGTTGACATCACTGACTGATAGCAATATTATGACGATATTTCTATGAGTAGCCCTCCCTCAAGGAGGAGATTTGATAGAAGGTTTCAAAATCATGAGCGTGGAAAAAGGATTGCTAACCAGAGAGCACGGACCTAAATTGTTTTGCTGAAGAAGCAAATGCAAGATGAGAAAACCCTTTTCAGGCTGGCACAATTACAACATTTAAAAGGCATCTGAACGGGTACATGAATAGGAAGGGTTTAGAGGGATATAGACCAAATGCTGGCAAATGGGACTAGATTAATTTAGTATATCTGGTGGGCATGGACAAGTTGGACTGTAGGGTGGATTTCTGTGCTGTACATCTCTATGACTTTAACTCGTTAGGGTCTGGATTGCACTGCCAGTAAGTGCAGTGAAGGCAAGTTCAGTCGAGGCATATTGGCTGTTTCTACTAAAATAATCAATGTACAAAGTTAGGGAGAAGGGAGGAGAGTAGCACAAAGTTAAAATGCTCAGTCAGCCAGTGCGGGCTGCACTGGAATAATTCTGTGATCTGCAGGAAAGGAAGCTGTCACTTCAAGAAAATCTGAGCATGTGATGAATATATTTATTGAATTGAGGACTAGCAATGCTCACAGTGACCTCTGGGAGGCACTATTATGTGGTGCACATTTGACCTCCAGTTCAAAGGTCATGCTTGTTTAATGGCTTTTAAAATTCAAATTAATAGCTTTCCCCTAAAAAGAAATAACATTTCTTATTATAGTTTGTATTCTGGCCAAAGCCATGTTTTATTTACATTTTGAAAACACCTCCCAAATTGCCAGACAAATGGAAATGCAGCAGGTGGGTCACATGTAGAAGATGCAGCTGAAGGTGAGGGACATGGAAATGTCTTTTTGCAGTTTGATGTGTTTGTTTTGTCAGTTTTTAATCAGTATATTTGGTAGTAAGTTTGCAAGGAGGTCTGCACTTGGTGGAAGAGGCTTTTTGTATTTGCACTGATGCTGTATTTAACATCAAGGCCTGTGATAGAAAGGCTGCAGTTAATTCCTGTGTAGATTGGGAGCTGGTGCTGGCTGTGGTCAGGTAGTAGAGAAACTCTTATTCTGAGAATCTTCCCGTGAGTTTCTGGTTGTCTGAAGTCACTTTCAAAACCAGGCAAACCTTGGTATAATTTTCTGAAGTTATCATTAAATGCAGGGAGGAGTTGGAAAACCATTGTGTAATCTTCCTCTCACCAGTTTGTTTGATTGCTGCTTTAAGGCAACACCAATAATCTGTCTAAATACATTGTCTGAATGCTGAGGTATCAAAGTATGTAAGTCCTGACAATTGGTTTCAATGCAGTATCACTGTATTTATTCTAATTTCTGGCATAATCTCCTGATAAGGAAGTGTTTTTTTTCTTGTAACATAAACAGGACCCCACCCTGAATCCAATTGGGGGCTGCAAATGCTGAAGTTTGTTTTTAAAACAACAAAATTTTAACCTCTGTGTTGACCAATAGTGGAGAGGCAATGGCCCAGTGGTATTATTCGCTAGGCTATTAATCCAGAAACTCAGCTAAAGTTCTGGGGACATGGGTTTGAATCCTGCTATGGCAGATGGTGGGATTTGAATTCAATTTTTAAAAAATCCAGAAGTACGAATTTACTGATGACCACGAAAACCCCATCCAGTTCACTAATGTCCTTCAGGGAAAGAAATGTGCCATTCTTACCTAGTCTGGCCTACATGTGACTCCAGACCCACAGTAAAGTGTTTGACACATGTCTTCTGGGCAATTAGGGATTTGTAATAAACACTGCTGTTGCCAGTGACATCCACATCTTGTGAATGTGTTAAAAAATACGCATTACTAAGCAAACTAAAAACCCACTAACATCGGCCTGACTTTAACAGTGTTCTCTCCAATGGTTCAGAAAGTTGCCTGTTAAACTTCACGTCAGGATTTGAGAGTATAATCTAGGTGCAGTTCTAGCTGAGTGCTGCATTGTGGAATGTATGGGGTGATTTTTTTTTTTGGTTGATGGATTAATCCAAGGTTCAGAAGAAACTGGTATGTCAATTCACGTTGTATTTTCCATTTAGTTCGATGGGTTGCAGCTCTTTTCTCTGCTGATTTGAAACGAAATATGTTTGACTCCATGTCGATCTGGCTTCAAAGGGCTGGATTTGCATCTGAAAGCAGCTGAGGGTTCAATGCAGATTATCAGCCTGACTTGATGTGAGAGCCAAGAATGTCAGATTGCATCCTCAGAGGCTGCTGTACTCTGCTGGGGTTAAGTGCTTTGATAATGGTACAATAAAGGAAGCCATTATCTGATATCTAACCTGTAGCTGATCTGGTTGCACTTGATGCTCATAGTGGGTGGAAAAAGTGGAAAACTATCTGTTTAATATCAATGTTTGAAAGCAAGAGCTTTTTAACCTTTCCTTTTAATGTTGACCAGTATTATTGAGGAAACTGAAAACCCATAACATCAGTCTGACTTTGACAATGCCCTCTCTGTCTCTGATGGTTCCCTGTTAAACCTCACGCCAGGATTTGAGGGTATAATCTAGGTGCAGTACTGGCTAAGTGCTGCACATGGTCTTTTGGCTGGGCTGTTATCCGTGGCCCCTTGTATCTATGTAGTTGAATGTGAAAGGTCCCAGAGTGTGATTGAGACCAGAATGTGCTGCTCATTCATCTAACTTGCCTCCATTGACTTGCATGATGTCTAAATATTGAGAGTGAATTGCTTTGTAATGTGCTGTTGACATGAAAGGCTGTTCTGACCAGACTCTGAGCGAGTTATTACGATCCTGGAGAGGATACCCAAAATTATCAAACTCCCAGGTGAGGAGGGATTTACTGGCTCTTCTTCTCTCTTCCCCCCCCGCCTTATTCGCTTGCCCCCTTGATTGGTGTGACCAATGTTAAATTTACAGAGAATGGGATAAAAGGAAACTTTTCGAGTTAACCAAAGAGAGAGTTTATTAACTACTAAATGCAAGAGAAATAACATAACACACAGATTAAAAATGAGAAGGGAAGTCCCAATAAAAGATAAATATGGATCAATCTCTTGAGTGATTTGTGAAGAGTAGATAGACATTGCAGTTGATTTGGCTTTGCAGGTTGATTTTGAAATTGATTTGTCCTGCTTCCTTCCATCACTGGCTGGCTTGGTAGCATTTCGGGTGAGGTGGTTCTTTACCTGCAATGGAGAGGTGACTAGCAGATGATTCTTTGGCTGTGACCTTCAAAGCTCACTCTTGTTCAAACCCAGGCCAAGACATGTGTGTACTTCTGCTCACTAATACATCCAGACTAGTGTTGAACCAGCTTTTAACCCCTGCTGTAGCCTATTGTAGAAGGGGGTAAACTCACTGGTCTCTTGTCTATTGTGTTTACAATCTGAGAGAATCCCCAGTTCACTTCAGTTTGTAGTGCACCTTCTCCCTTTGGAACTTCTTTGACTTTCACAAGTTGTGACATTTCAGGATGTGTCTCTTCAGATGACCTTTGGATTTATGTCTGCTATTATTTAGGTTGTAAGTTTTTTTTGAAGAAAAGGAATCCATGTTAGAATATAAAAGTTAAATATGTCCTTTGGATATCCTGTGGTGATGACAAAGGTAGGACATTTAATTGTCTTTTACTTCAAAATATGAGCTGGAAGTTGCAAATCCAAAACACGCAACTCTGACTTCTCGAAGCTCGCATTCCCCTCGTAGAATCCCTACAGTGTGGAAGTGGGCCATTTGGCAACCCTCCAAAGAGCATCCCGCCCAGAGCTACCCTCCCTACCCTATCCCTGTAACCCCGCATTCCCCATGGCTAACCCACCCTAACCTACACATCCCTGGACACTACGGGCAATTTAGCACGGCCAATCCAGCTAAACCGCACATCTTTGGAAACCAGAGCTCTCAGAGGAAACTCATACAGACTCGGGGAGAATGCATAAACTTCACGCAGAAACTCCCCCAGTGCTGGAATCGGACCTGGTGCTGTCCGTTTTCAAGGTTATAATGATTTTGGTGAGTTGCTGATGGGGCCAACTTGAAAACGGTAACACACACTTTACTGTGGAGTTTGGAAAGCAGCAGATTGTGTGTGGAGTGAGGGGCTAATTGTATCAATGTTGTCATCATACCTCCTGATAGCCATACTTGGCAGCTATGATGCTGGCACATGACATGGGACTGAGACCTAATGGAAGAGGACATTATAGTTAATAAATGTTAAGGTTCTGCATTAGTCTTGTGTTCAGCCCTTGTGTGTCTGGAGCTCCTAGAAAATCCTCCCAATATTCCCACACGATAAGAGACCACACCCAGAAATACATTCGTAAACATCAAGGAAAAACTGGAAGAGAAAGTCAACAATGCCCAGGAGCTACAGGCCTTAAGGGGGCAAATCACCAGGACAACCCGGTGACTATCAGAGATAGCACTCTGGGAGACGTAGACTGCAAGTCAGGTGAGCAATCAATTCTGCTTTACCCACCCAAGAACTTTTTGGAATGCAGCTGACCTTGGGCTGGCTGAGCAAAGGCAGTTGGGGCTGGAAGTCCTTTCTGGTCATTCGCCTCAAAAGCAACAGCAACAAGCGATGTGTGTAGGAAAGATGCCGCCTGCCATTTTATAAGGTCCCTGTGATGGTGAGAAAGAGGCCCTGCCCATGCTACTAAGCCATGTCAGTGATAACAGCAGTCGTTTTAAAATAGATTGCTTCAAGCCTGCAATTTTAAAATGACTGCCTTTCGGACTTCAGTTGTTCACATAGTTTATTAATGAATTGAATAATAGCATTAACAATCCAAATTTGCTGCTGATGCAAAGTTAGGCAGCATTGTGGACAGTATAGATGATAGTGTAAAATTACAAAGGAATATTGATAGACTAGGTGAATATGCAAAACTGTGGCAGATGGAGTTCAGTGTAAGCAAGTATGAGATTATCCATTTTGGAGTGAAAAAGATATAATACTGGGGACTTTCTAAATCAAATGCAGTTAAATACAGTGGATGTCCACAGAGACTTGTCAGCTTGGGTGCATAGATCTTTAAAATGCCACAAACAGGGACAGAAACTAATGAAGAAAGCTAATGGAATACAGGCCTTTATATGTAGAGGACTGGAGTATGAGGATGCCAAAGTGAGACTGCACTCCAAGGATTGTGAGCAGATCTAGGCATCACGTCTTGGGATGGGTGTATTAGCCTTGGCAATGTAAGAATGATGCCTGGAGTTCAAAGCTTAAGTTTTATAAGGACAGCTTATACAAACTAGGCTTCCTTTCTCTGGAATTTAGAAGGTTAAGGGGTGATTTGAAGGATGTTAACAGGAAAAGAGAGGATTGATAAGAATAGATTATTTCCACAGCCTAAAATTTAGGATGAGACTGTTCAGGAGAGATGTTGGGGAGCACTCCCACATACAAATGGTGATAGATGTTTGGAGCTCTCTTCCACAAATGGCAGTGGATTCAGGATCAATTATTAATTTTTAAATCTGAGGTAATGTTTTCAGCAAACCTATTAGGGGATATGGGCAAAAGGCAGGTTCGGGAGTTGGCTGCAGATCAGCCATGGTCTCATTGAATGGCGTACTCCTGTTCCTGTGGTTCTACTTGTGAAGCACAAGACAAAAGCTTTTTGAAGGAAGCATGACACAAGAAATTGCTTCTCTCGAGAAAGTCAGAGAATGAAAATCAATATTGGACTGTTAACATCGAATTCAACAGATGCCATACTGACTGTAAATTAGAGAAGTGTGCTGCACTCATTTCTATCGATGGACATAAATTGTTACAAAGAATTAGCCTTCATTGTTTGCCTGTCAAACGTCAAGGCCTGGGAAAGATTCACCTCAAAGTCAAACGTCACTTGCAGAAAATGTTAAGACACAAGGATGGAAATCTCAATCTGCAGCTAGCCATATTTACTACTCGGCAGGAAAGTCCTTTTTTTTGACTTCCGTCTCCTTTTTAAAGTGAAAGGTGTCAACAAACGGAAACCAGCAAATGAATTTAAATAAAAACTTTCAAACTCTCCAGCGGTGTAGGACAACAGAACATTGCATACTGTTGAAA